AGTAATGGTGTTGGTAAGTTTTCAGGGCTCCACCAGGAAGACAGGGGAGGTCTCTGCCCAGGAGTCAGGAGAACTCCACCCAGTAGTCAGAGTGGAGCCAGGTGGTGTGTGTGCTGGGGGCATACACGAGACAGCCAGGAAGGCTGAGAGAGAGCTGAGAAAAATAAAAAACTGAAATATCACATATAATGAAGTATCCAGACCCTATACTTTGTTAAAGCACCTTTGGCAGCAATTAGTCTTTTTGGGTATGGAACAGGTTTTCATTGAGGATAGCTCTGTACTTTGCCCCATAGAGCTTTCCCTCAACCCTGACCAGTCTCCCAGTCCCTGCTGCTGAAAAACACCCCACAGCTGCCACCACCATGGATCACTGTTGGGATGGTATTAGGCAGGTGATAAGCAGTGCCTGGTTTCCTCTAGACATAACGTTTACAATTGAGGCCAAATAGTTCAATCTTGGTTTCATTAGACCAGAGAATCTTGTTCCTCAGGTGTTTTTTTTTTGCAAACTCCAAGCAGGCTTTCATGTGTTTTGCACTGAGGAGAGGCTTCCGTCTAGCCACCCTGCCAGAAAAGGCCAGATCGGTGGAGGGCTGCATTGATGGTTGACCCCATGATCATGCACAGTAATTGGCACTAGAGTGCCAATTGCTGTGCACTCTAAACAAGTGCCATTTGAATGCTTATTCTTAGTTTCTAGCATGACACCAACAGTACGTGAGCAGTCATTTGGGCACTTCACGATGGGGACATACAGTGCCAATCCTGAGTCGCAAAGGGGTTAAACCAAACATATATGTACCGTATTCACCCCTTGGGCAAATTTGGGGATCATGGCAAATCTAGACACCACCTCATGAGAAAAGTAACAATTTTCTGACTATCCACAGTTTTTTTTATGTAAAAGTACTTCAGCTATTTATATTTTTATATGATAATATTGTGTAACCCTATTCATACACATATAGGTTGAACTAAATAAATCACTTGATTCCCCCATCCATGGTAAAACAGTGTGGATAGAGGCATCTGCACTGTCAGCTATTATATTCAGGTAGCCCCCAACACAAGCTGCTGCCTGAATACTTGAACAATGACTGCACTCTTTGGGTGACAATTTTCCATTTGGCTCGTTCGATTCTGAAACTGACTCTATTCAAGTGAGGTGGTGCCGACAAGGCCATGCACAGCACAAATATCGGCCGTTTATGGCTAGCTTAACTTATGTGCATCAATTAGTGTGAGTAGCACAGGCAGTATCTTCTTGTGTTGAAAATAAATGTATTCACACAGTGTACCTGAAAAAGCCTCCCGCACTCTGCAATCATATGAGCCAAACTTTGAATTGCTGCCAAGTTTTCGCTTAAGTCTTTCTGGTCTGGTTTTCCAGTACTGTATTTCCTCTGACTTGACCTAAATCCAGAGAAAAGATACATATAAATATATATAATTGCTCCTAATAATAATGTAGCCATCTTTTCTTTAGATAAAGGTTAAAAGGAAACTATTCTCTATATAGTTTCTATTAGCCACATATGAATTTCCTGTACTGTATTAATACATTTTATTAAAGTCCACCTTTTCAATTCAAATAAGCTAAATACATTCAAACAAAAAGGTGTGCAAAGTCTTACAGTTCATTTTATTTAGAAAGCAGCTACAGCCTGAGTGGAAAAGTTTGTTTCCTCTGAACTTGCTGTAGAGAAGAAACCTTTGTGTGGTCTGTGTGGCTGCAGTGGTTTCTCTGTAGACATCTTCCATTTACCCTGCTACGTCAGACCTAAAGCCCTGCAATCAGCAAAGCTCATGCTCCTTGGAGAGCTCTAGCAGGGAGAGAGTTGGACTTCTGCAGAGACAAATGCTTCCATACAGAAAGCAATGGTTGTACTGTCCCCGTGGACTCACAAGCTGTACATCAAAGAGCCAGTAAAGGCATTTATGCACTGATGAGGGCTAAAACAGGCCAAAAACAGTTATATGCAACTTGGTAATATTGGATCTATAAATTGATGGCTATATCTGTGCTATACACTGGCAGGTCTGGGTGCAGAGATAGCTTAAAAGGTGCAAAAGAAACAATTTGCATGACCCCACCCACTTGCCCCTAAACAGATACTGAGATCCTTGCTTTTAAGTTTTGTGCTGGAAGGGAGGGCATTTACATACCTACAGCAATACTGTATCTCCATGTGTTATTATTGAAAACGTGGTGGAAGCATAGAAACATACAGCATTCAGCCAAATAAGCACCAGACAGTTCAGTACAAAATAAACTTTGTCAAAACTTGGATGAAAAAAACATTACCTTCTTTGCAGCTATAAAAAATAAGACCTATTATAAATATTATTTTGTCTCAAGTAATATCTGAAAGATTTGAAGCATTTCTAGTTAATGATTCACTATAAAAGACAAGTAAAAGTTCTCAATAACATCATTACAACACACTTCCTGCCTGATTATCCACAGAATAAAGGAAGTGAATGCCACCACACAAAGAAACTGCTGATAAGAGATTAATCCCTAGAGCCAGGGCTTTGAGATTATGCTTCTTTGAAGACTATTACAAATTAAAACATTAACATCTATATATCTGGCAAGCTTCTTCAAAGTAGTCTTTTAGAGCAGAAAAAAAGCTTTATACCAAAAAAAAAAAAAAAAAAAAAACACTACACAATGAACTACTTATGCTCCATATGGGAAAGATTTGTTAAAGAGTGAGGATTAGGTCATTCAAAAAAAAAAGGAGTTAATCCTTTTTAAGTAATTCTGCTAAAATGCCTATTAGTCTCCTCGCATGTTAATAGGGTATAAGGGGTGTAATCTGAATAAAACGCATACATTTATTTAAAAAAAAAAAACTTGGTCTAAATTTGACTTTCACCCAAACAAAATAGCAGAAATCCCACGGCAGAAGTATGTGCTTTTACTCTGATCTAGCGTAGGATCATCCAGATGTCAGGATGTTAGCCGGATGCAGCCCACTCTGGCTTTTTCTGTGGTCCCACAGCTGCCTGAGAAATTTGTTTTCGTGACATCATTTTTAATGGGATCCAGCAAGTCTGAGATAAAGGCCTTCCCACGCAATCAAACAACTGATAGTACTAAACTGCAGAATGTTTCAATTTTAAATCATATATACCTAGACATTTTTTTCAGGCGTTCTTTTTACATATACAACTAATATTAATGTCTACAAAAGGTTGGTTAAAACCCAGGACAAGTGGAACCACCACTCACAAACCAACGCTCATCAATTTACCTTTATCCTAATTTGTAGAGTGTCCATCTTTTTTTAATGTATGCAACTTTGAAACTGTGAGGTCCCTTTATCCAGTAATAGAATCTCTGAGCAATAAATGTTTTTATACAAAGTAACAGATAACTGCAAAGCAATACACTGAGTCACTCTTTTATTATACACCTCCCAATTCTCCATGCTGCTGTTAACGACCAACATCTGAACATGTCAGTTCACCTAAAATAATGAATGTAAGGTATACTTTTGGTGAGCAGAAAATGTGAATACTCTTGTTCACATTTCTGGTCAATAACGGCAATGAATGACAGCAGTCTGTCAAGTGTTGACAGACTTGGTGAAGTTATGCAAGTTGCATTTTCTAATAAGACACATGCCAATCTGAATGTAAATCTAGAGGTACATTTTCAAACCGAAAATGTACTTCTCACAAAATCATGTGAGTACTACAAGCAGAAACTATATCCTGAAGTCAAATTTAAATTATTATTATACAGGATTTATATAGCGTCAACAGTTTGCGCAGCGCTTTACAATACAAGGAAGACATTACAGTCACAGGACGGGCAGAGGAAAAAACGGTCTTACAAATCTGAAAAACTACTTTTAATTATTTGTTTTAATTATTATTTGTTTTAATTATTAACCTGTACAAGACTTCAATCTATTGGTTGGGCCAATAAGACAAACAGAATAAAAATAAATAAATAAAAAAAGTCACTGAGCAATCTTGACCATACCTGTTTGAAGAAGTGCTTTCTCTTCGGAGGGAGTTTAAATGAAATAAACTGGGAGCGAGACACACAGCAATATTTGTTTGGGTCATCTGGTTCTCACTCGCAGAAGCAACCACATCTCTAAGGAAGTACAGCAGCATCTTAAGGGCTTCACGATTTTCATCTGGAAGTAGCAGTATGGCAGCCTGAGCTGCAAACAATTGTTGATCCTTTGGCACATCTAAAGGACAAGAAGAAACTATATGAATTCCCTCTTCAAGGGGAAATCTGAACAAGGCAAGAACTGCAAAACGTTCAGATGAAGCAAGTATTTGACATTACCTGTGCAGGGCCGCTAGAAAAACTCCAGCTCTAATGATTCTCTTCCCAAACAATATTTTTAACATATTGTACCAACATTCTTTATGAATTTTTTACATAATGCTGGCAAGTTTCATAATTTAATTCTATTATTTTTAATAATACATTATATTCAAAGCACTTCAGGGGGTTTCTGCTCAGAGGAATATGGGGAACCTCTTATTTATTCATCCATCACTGCTGCTCCATGTGCATGCCCTTTTTGTCAGGATACCAACTTTTTATCCTGACAAAAAGGCACCATGCTGCTTCTATACCCCTGTCATAACACATTTTACTGCCCAATTTCAACAAATATGTTCTCCATTATGTCTATTTAATAAATATTACAGTGAAATAATGCAGGACTATGTTACACATTTATTTATTTTATGCCTTCATACAACAGGACATAAAGCAATTCTCAGGTATCCTGAGGTAGCTTACTTATAATACATAGTCTTATTTAGAATTACTTACCTATAATTATAGTCTTCTTAAAGTAGTTTTTTTATTAATAATGTCAATGTGATCAGCTTAAATAAGCATCTGCCACTTCCACATTCAGGGTAAATTTATATGCATTCTTGCAAAAACACACACAATCCTGCAGACGCTCAGCCTTGCTGCACATTTGACGCTCTGTTAAAGCTCTTGGTAAATACTCAGTGCTTCTGGATATAGGGGAGCTTGAGCTGCAGGATGTAGTAATTGAACCTGAGTGGCCAACTGCAGAGCTTCAACATTCTTACAGATTTTCTTTAATGTAAATATTTTATTCCATTTCTGGGTGACACACAGAACAGAAAGGGATCTTACATTGGTAAATGTGCAGGAAAGATTCACACAACTTGCTTGTAAATATAGGTTCAGGTAAATCACGGAAATACTGCTTCACCATGTCTGCCACATCAAATGCAGACTGGCCATCATAATTCACAAAGTTACAGTTTAATTCATTCATCTCTCGAAGAGCCTGGATTCTAGACTTTACACCAGACTTTCGAAAAAGACCAACCTGTACAAGACATAAATATTTGGTAATGGTTTTCAGTATACAAACAGTTTTAGGAATATATCATCTATTTGAAATCTTTGACTTTGCCAATTAAAATTGATTCATAATGAAAACTTAATGAAAGCAAACAAATAAATAAAAGGGGATGTTTTTACAACCTGGCAACACTTTCAGCTTTGAGGCAGAAGTTAATGAAAAGCGATTGTGTAAAAACACCCAAAAGTAGTGTACATTATAGTTGGTGAAAACCACATAGTAAAGCTGGCTGGCTTAGACTTTCATTCATCCTGCGGAAAATCTATTGATTCTCCCATCCATGGAAAACAGCGTAGATGGAGGAATCCCCGATGAAGCCTACATTATTCAGCAGCCACTGCTTCAGTGGTGGCAGAATACCCAAACAACTTGTACATCGGCTGCAGGGTCCTGTTCAGCTGAGAATTTTCAGACCACCTCCTTTTTTCAATTGAATTTTGTGGAGGAAAGGAGTGGCTGCAGACAGGGCTATCCAGAGTGTTCAAATGTCAGGTCATTTCTGCTGAATTCCAGCAATGTATGGACAGTTTGAAACACTTCATACATCTAGACAGGCAGACAGTTGACTTCGCCTGTTAAAGCACAGCTCAGTCAACTTCTCTGTCCTCCCTATTGGTTCTTTAATGTGATAAATCTCAATAGCCAATAGAGAGGGAGCCTCAATGTGGGAGCGGTGTGGGGTCAAGTTCAACAATTACAGCAAAATGAAGGTTTGCACTGAACGTCAACTACATAGATCTCCATCAGTCTACTAATTGTTATAACATTTTCATGAACTGTAACCTCTCCGTATGCATTTGTTTTAATTATTAACCTGATTTTTTTCAGGTAGCCCGAAAGGGCATGCATACTGTTTACAGAGATAGATAGATAGATACAGATAGAATAGATATAGATAGAGAGAACAAAAAAATACCTGATCAAGGCAGAGGATTCGCAAATACTCCATAGCCTGAAGGATACTCTTGGGAATAGGATAGCCTGTCCTCTGCACATTTAGGAGAAGTGGAACACCAAACACATTCTTATCTTTATAGTCTGGAACCCTTATTTTACGAATGAATTTTGGAACATTCCTATAAAATAATGAAGAATTTAGTATTTGTTTCTATAACATCATATAACTGTTTCATTTCAATGTAGAAGCAGAAATAAAGTATGTTAAATTGAATAGCGGTGGCGGGTCTTACTCAGTATGTGTTACTTCAAAGAAACTGACAGACATGGCAGTGCTAAAGATGCCCTGTCCGATTCTATGTGTGCCCTGTGTGTCCTGTTCACACCACAATGCTTGTGTAATGTGCTGCACGCCAGCCACGACGTGGTGCATTTTTCTGCAGCTCACCGGAAGGCGCCACAAGACCTGAATGGAGTGTACACTTTGAGCTGGATAGACACGGATCAAATGAAAATCAATCCATTGGTGGCCCTAACTCCTCAAGGTCAATGGAAAATTTTCTCATCTCTTGAAATGGCTGAAAATCACAAATGCTTTAACGTAAAGCAGACTTTTCAGTTTCTGCCGGAAGACTGCATGAATAAATCCCCTTTTGCCTTTCAGTGACAAGACTGCAGCATATCACAAAGTGAAAGGATGCAGCAGGAGCTGACCTGTGATCAGACATTTGTGAACATCGCCAAGAACTCTACAGGCACCAGCTTTTATGATGTAAAAGCCATCCATCTTTGTATAGGCATCAACTACATTGTAGATTGATATGCTAGCTCACAGATAATAATCATAAATGCTGGAGCCTGTGGAGTTCCTGGCTGCGACAGACCTCTTTTCTCAAGCACCATCTTGATTTAAAAGCTACGGTACTTCCTGGGCTGAGAGGCTGGCTTAGAGAAGGCAATCATGCAAATCCTGGTGCCTGTGCAGTCTTTGGCTGTATTCACAAATGTCTGACACAGATGAGCTCCAGCTGCAGCCTTTCACCTTGTGACTTGCTACACAGCTACAATGCCGCATTGTGATCACTCATGGAAAGAGGGGACTGAGGAAATGTTACCAGCCTGCTGAAGGCAGGAGGAGGCATTATCTCAGCCTAATCAAACTCACTTTACTGGATAATTTTTTATATGATGCAGCTGTTTTTAAACATTATACTGTTGCTGTTGTTGCAACAAGCCAGGAATGTATTTATGAAGATTTATAAGGTTGCTGAAAGATCATTTTAACATGCCAAAGACTCTGCTGCTAGGAGGTCCTCTGTAAGTGATTCTAGGCCATACCAATTGGGAGGCTCACCCCGACCCTTATCTACATTTGTTTTGCGCTCTCTTTTCTTTCTTTTATTGTATTGTCCTTCACTTCTCCTGCAGCAGTCCTTCAGGGTCCCGAGTTATAATTTTCATCAAGTATATTATCTACATACAGTTTACAGCTACAATCTAAATAATTTGTATTGGTTTTGCGTAGAGCTGCAGCTAACGATTATTTTCAAAATCGATTAGTTAGCCTGCGGGCGGTGAGTGTGAGGCGGGAAGGAGGTGTGGCGTGTAGAGCGTGGATGCGGGCGTGCGGGTCTGGCAGCGGTGAGCGTGAGTTGGGGAGGAGGTGCGGTGCGCAGCGTGTGGAGCTGTGAACAGGGCCAACTGATCGGAAGCCGATTAATCGATTATTGAAAAAGTTGACAACTTTTTCAATAATCGATTATAATCATGTCGATTAGTTGTTGCAGCCCTAGTTTTGCGCTATGTTCGGTTATCTAGCGCTCATCTACAGTGGTTTAGTGAACTATGCATGTGCACCATCTGTAGGACTGTGACACCGACTTTATACTGCACACTTCAATAAGTTGCAGAGACTTGAATGCATTAAAGTTCTCTGAAAAGATACATATACCCATGTAAAGGTCTTTGTAAAATGGTAGGTCTGGAGACTTCAAGTTGCAGTGATATTCCTGCTGAAGACCCAAAACATAAAGAGCTCTTAATAGGTTGGACTTGATGGACTAATGTCTTTATTCAACCTCAAATACTATGTAACTATGTAACTATGTGACTCAATCCAGCAGAAGATATCAGCTTTGTGTAGTCTAACCATTTAAAGTCGAACTCCAGCCATTTAAAATCTTCAGCAAGAAACTGTCACACTTTTACTGCTGTGTCCCCATTAAGGACATATTTTTTTACTTCCTGGAGACATGCCAGGAATGAATTTACATTTTCTAAATTAGGAGGACAATCCCCCTTTCAAACCTTTCACTAGAACAACCATAAAAGATTGGATTTCCCCTCACTGCCAATCCAGCGACAGCAATCATCATGAGAAGCAGTAAAGGTGGATCAGTCCAAAAAGGGACGCAAACAGCCTTTCCATGTTCTATTCAAAACATGGGGAAAAAAGCTTTGGCTGGAGTTTTTTTGAGTGTTCTCACAACATATTTCTCCTATATCTTAGAATTTCCACAAAATGTTGGCAATTATATTACCAAGCAAGTTATCAAAGAACCATGCAAATTACTCAGCAAAATAACTCATGGAAAACGCTTGCAACTAGTTTACAGATTTGAGCAAACCTCAAAGAATTTTCCTTTACTTCCACTGAAATGTAGGGTGAGGTTCAGTTAGAGCAGTTGTGTCACACAGAATTCCCATGAACTCACCAGTTCCATCCTTGTTTGTTGGAAGTGGAATATTTATCCATCAGCACTGTGAGCTTTAACAAAGACAGTTTCTGGATCCTGTTTAAGTGAGCTGCTGACTGTCTTTCAACTTGCATGGAAATATTTTCAGACTCTGGACTTTCTCTGCAAATTCAAAGATCACAAATACTTTTGTAATACTTACTGTATCTCAGGATACATAGTATAAGTTATACAGGAAATGTTTTCTAAAGAAATTAGGCATTGGGCATAAGCTGCGAGAAACTAAACACAACTAAAATGCAAAAACTCAAGCTGTCAAGTACCAATTGTCTGAAGTCATCCTGATGCATATATACGGTAATTTAATAAGAAAAAAAAAACCCTGTATAGGGAGGGTGCTGCCAAAGACATCAAAGGAAGGATATAATACTATAAATAAAACACAGAGCCAAGCTGCAATGTCCTACAGACATCATTATTAATTATAGACATCCTAAAATGGGCTGGGCTATTTGAACGCTGTAAAGAAAGAATTTATCAAAAGAAAAAAATATTACTTCAGCTAAAAGTGTCACATGTATGAGAGCTCATACTATAATTTTTTATAATAATCCATAAATTTAAAAAGTAGTTCAAAATATGGCTAGCAGCTAAGATCCACGACAGTAGAAGTGATTTTTTTTCTGAAGATATGGGTAAACAATGCGATTTAACAGCCTTTGAACGTGGGATGATTGTTGGTGTGAGCCATGGAGCGAGTATCAGCAAAACAGCAGAATTCGTTCAATGTTCAAGAGCAGCTGTTGTTAAAGTGTTTAAAGACTGGACTGTCAGCCGAAGATATGGGTCTGAACGTGCGAATTGTGGCCGTCAGCGACTAGTCAATGGTAGGGCAGAACGGAGAGTGGCAAGACTGGTACAAGACAACAGAAGGGCAACAGTGCAGTGTTAGATTCCTCGCAACACCTTCCAACATCTCATGGAGTCATCTCGTGGCCCAACGAAGTACTGATGGGGTGGTCATAATAATCTGGCCACTCAGTGTGTGTATGTATATCTATCTAGATAGATATCTATCTCTGTTGCCGGTATAGTTATATTCACACTCAGGTTTCTTAGACATTTTCCATAAAAGGGTACTTAGTACTTATCTCATCATTCCAAGGTTTCCAATGCTGTGATATCTGAATCTTGTCATGACTTATAATGGTTAATCATAAAAATTGCCAGTTAAATCCTTTTGGCATTGATAATCACATGGCAGTGTGTAAAGGAATGTGTTTGTGTGTGGGGAAAAGGGGTGGGAGATTACATCATAAACGTTATGTTAACAGTATTTCCAAGATGCAAGAAACACATTCAGAAAATGGAAAGAAGAAAGTATTGTATCACTATAATGGGAACAGCGCATCCAAGACCAAAGTATTTACCATAAATAAGCCCTCGCGAGCAGGGCCCTTCTAACCCTCCTGTATTGAAATTGTATTGTTAACGGCATTGTCTCCCTCTATTTTCTAAAGCACTGTGCAAACTGTTGGCGCTATATAAATCCTATATAATAATAATAATAATAACTCAGTTGTCCAAGTGTATGTCTGGCCAAAATTAAGACAAAAAAAAAAAAACACCTTAATTAGCACACCTCTGCTACAAGTACATAAGGTACAGTTATGGCCAAAAATATTGGCACCCCTGCATTTTTGTCAGATAATGCACCACTTTGCGCAGAAAATTGTTACAATTACAAATGTTTAGGCACTCATGTTTGTTTCTTTTGTTTGTATTTGTATGACACATAAGTGGAGAAAAAAAAGCCAAATCTGACACATTCCATACAAAACTCCAAAAATGGACTGGGCAAAATTATTGGCACCTTCTCCAAATTGCAAGAAATAATTGCATTCAAAGTTTTTGTGGAAAAGCATGGACAATCTCAAGGTTACAAGTCAATCTACAGAGATCTTAATGTTCCTGTGTCCACTGTGCACAGCATTGTCAAGAAGTTTACAGCCCATGGCACTTCCAAGGTCCGAGCTACCAAATATTAATTGAGGGTGCCAATAATTTTGTCCAGTCCATTCTTGGAGTTTTGTGTGGAATGTGTCAGGTTTGGCTTTTTTTTCTCAACTTTTTTGTGTCATACCAATACAAACAAAAGACATAAAACATGGGAATGCCTAAACATTGGTAATTGCAACAATTTTCTGCACGAAGTGGTGCATTATCTGACAGAAATGCAGGGGTGCAATATCTTTGGCCATGACTGTACCTGTTATCTGTCCACAAATCTAGTATGTTCCTAACTTACTGTAGTGGGCTCTCAATGCTGCCTCTGCTATGCTGAGATTCCAAGTGGTATGATCAGCCCTGCCCAAGTCTTCTCTCTTGGACTTCAAAACACTTCTGGTGTATGTTATGGGGAAGGGGTTCTGTAGTACAGCAACACTAAGACTGCTTGGCATGTCAGTACAGCAGGGGCAGAGATATCTGCCAACAGAAGGAAGTTAGGAACACACAAAGAAGGGAATTTATAAAAACTGGAGCAGACAGCATCTGGAGTCCATGGCAACCAATCAGCATCTCTCTTCAGTTTGCTCAGCTGAGCAGAGAAAAGAGATATAGAAGCTAATTGGTTGCAATGCAAAACTGCTCCAAATGTTGTCTGCTCTAGTTTCGATAAATTCCCCCCTGTATGTTTTGCAGAACTCTAAATCTGTACCGGCAGCATTTTACCCAAACATGCACTTTGAAAGTTAATGCTTGGTTACCTAAGAAAACTGTTTTAGCAATATCACTTCACAACATTATTAACTAACCTGCTACAGTTGATTAAGGGTGCTTCAATTTCTGAAATGGTCATATATGGCAGAGCTGGAGAGTAGGAGTCTGTGTGGGATTTACAAAAGTCCATGTCTGAATGGTTTGTCAATTCTGATTTAGAATTGTTCTGCTCTTTCACTTGAAGATGAACAGTTTTAGGAGAGGATTGGTATATTGACACAGAGTCATGAAAATCAAAGTCCCCATCATCTGAGCACTTTTTAGGCCAAGAACTGACTAGTTTGCGGAGTCCATTGATATTCTCAATTACATTGTCTAGTTCTGAAAAGACATCATCATCATTAGGTGAGCAAAGATCATCAATTTGAAAGGAAAGATTTGGCACATTATCATAGATGCTTAGTCGATTGTCAATTGGCAAAAGTCGCGCTTCAGTGTCTTTGACCCCATTAGAACTAATCTTGTTACTATCATAACCATGAAAGCTTCCATTTCTCCAGTTTACAGAGGTGTTGTCTATAGTTGATAAAATGCTGTTTGCAGTAATTGTTTTAGGAAATGTCCCAGGTTTATGGCCGTGTGGGGTGTAAAAGATTTGACATTCATGCAAATTTCTTTTATTTCTTAGCTTTTGCTCAAAATTCTTATTCCATGAAGAAGATTTGGAAGGTTCAACATACTCTTTATTTACTCCCCCTTTCTTCATATGACTTCTGACTCTAACCGGACTTGGGGTACTCATAGCACTGCTGTTTTCAGATGGACTGCTACTGCTGCATGTTTGGGAAGAGCTAGAAAAATCAGTTTTACTTTGTTTTTCTTGAAAGTCTGAAATATTTACACAGTTCAGACTGCGCAATTTCTCATTACCAAGATCGTCAAGAAGTACTGGACTACTTATGGTAGGTTTGACCTTAGGATGTGGAGTCCTTTTTACAACTGAGCTTCTTAAACGAAACTTCTCCATTTTCATGAGTAGAGTATCTTTCTTGCTAAGATGCTTACTAACCAACTTCTCATTTGTTACGTTTAACATCTCACTGGAAGAAGGGGAACCACTAACAGTTGAACCCGGAGAAATAATTTTTGCAGATGAAGCTCTGGAGGAACATCTGCTTTTCTGAAGATCTTCATATGTTTTGGGTAAGCAGTCACTCTCACTACTGCTGGAGCTGTGCAATGAAGATGCATCATTTCTTTCCCCTTGATCCAAAGCATCAACTACTGGGATATTTTCTATTGGCATGGAAATGGCACATGCTTCTTCACATAGAGCAAAATTAAGATCATCCAAGCGTGACCAGCGTTTGCTTTGCCTCTGATAAGACCATTTACTGCTAATGGCACAGGGCTCATCATCTTCTGATTCATCACTCTTTTAAAAAATAAAATGTAATGGGTTAGCAAAACATTACAACTCAGCAGTACTCTAATTCAACACAAAACAAATGTATTTACCTTGAACAGAGAGGTTTATCAGACAATAATTGACTTAATCTGGAACTCGTCAATTAGATTAAAATAATGAGGGGAAGGTTAATCCTTCACATGTTTGTGCACCTGTGTGTCTGTACTTGTGCGGGATCAGGCCTTTCAATAAGCCCATGGAAGTAATCACTTCAAAAGCAATACTTTTTAATTGAAACAGGTTTTTGTACCATAAGAAATGTCTTTGTGTCTAAAAAGGGTCACAGGAGATCAGATACAGTCAAGTTATACTGCCACCTACAGAAGGAATGGACACTAGCAAACAAAAATATTGTGGGCCAGCCCGGTATAACCACTCCTACTACCAACATGGCTCGGTTTAATAACAAAGTGTTGGGTTGGGACCCGTGTGTCTCAATGAACTCCAAGAAATGGATTTTATGACAAGTAACAAAATCCCACTGTCATTCATTGAGGTCAATTCACCTGGGAGAAGTTGGAGAAAGTGTGAACAGAAGACCAGGTGGCAGCTTTACAAATCTGGGAACAGTTGCTGGAAGCCAAAAATCTCAAGAAGCACTCAAACAGCTTGAACTGCACCCAGGCATTGGAGGGAGGTCACCTACTGATAAACTGCATCCCATGCAGAATTTCTTGTCCGCGTGAAGAAATTTAGGACCTTGAGATGCAGGATGGGGCGTCTGCCCCTTTTGGCTTGGGAACTGAACAGGTTGGAGAAGAACCCCTGAAACCGTTCTGCCACAACAACTGGGGCGATGACACACTGCTCCAGAAGACCTACTAGGGCCACAAGGAGATCTGATAATCTGTATGATGAGGCAGGTTAGAAGAAATGGGAGCAAAATGCCAGCTTGTAGCCCCTGAAAACTACCTTATGAACACAACACAAAAGTGTCTGCAAAAGGCTAACAGAAGTCCACCAACTTTGGAAAGAGGGGGTGCCCCCATTATCTGAACATTTATCTGGAGCTTTGGAAGACATGGCTTGCGAGTGGACTGGGAGACAGGCTTGGGTTTGGAGAGGTCTGAGTAACAAAAAGGACTCTTCTTGACCTCCTTCTGAGCCTTGGCTCAAAGCCAGCACTTTTTGCATGCAGGCTCCACAGGCTAACACTTCTCCATTCTCATTAGGCAGCCCATCCGTTAGATGAGACGGGGGATTTCTAACCCGTTCTCACTGTAGTTCAAAGCTGCAGGCATGAGCTCCAGATGCAATATCGTTCGTGCACATGCTCTGGGGTCTAGTCACTAAAAGATACAGAAACATACCATGATGATAGGGCCACTAAGTGGTAATGCACATATGAGGTCATGAGGCCACTGAGAGGTTGAATTAAAAAAAGTTTGTAATTTAGATTAGTTTATCCTAATAGGAAATCACTATAGTAATAGGTAGTAACTGGGGGATTTTTTTTTAAATCCCATCCAATCCCCCTAAAGAGTACATCAACTAAAACCACTTTTCTGTTGATGGAGTCATAGACATTAGGAGTGTCTATGAAAAATGAAGGATGAATGATACATTGCAGACAGGTTTTTTTTCTTTATTAAGAATCAATTTCTCTATGATAATTATTGTTGGGCTGTAGGTAAACCATTTTACTTGGATGTTTAATGTGTATATCTAGCCAAAACTTGATAAGTATAAAAGTAATAAGCGGACAATTAATAGCAATACTTTACTCCAGAGATAATTTAAACACATGCACATAGACCTTCATTTTTTATAGCACTAAATATAATAAAACTATGCAAGGGAAAATGAACTAACACAAATAAAACATACTCTTTTGCAGTGATGAATTATTTCCACTTTCATAGTCGCACATTTGTTTAAGGTGTTCAGACGCCTGGAAAAAGAAAAATCTATTGTTGACACAGTGTGAAGTTTATGCATAAAGATTTATGTCCTATAGTCAGCTATGGAGTATATCCCTATATAGAATCCAGTAGGGGCGTTGTCAACACCATAGATGGATACAGATGGATTATTTTAGATTGTAAGCTCTCACGGGCAGGGCCCTCTTTACCATCTTAACTTGTATTGAAATGTCGTCCCTATATTGTGTAGCGCTGCACAAACTGTAGCGCTATATAAATCCTGTATAATAATAATGCGATACAATGTTGTGTACATAGCAGAAGTCTAATGGTTTACCCATTTCTAGTAGGGATGCACCGACACCGTTTTTTTGGTATCGAGTACGGATGGGTTTTTTTCGGTACTCACGGATACCAAAAGTCCCATTAAGGAAGCCGAGCGGAGTGTAATGACTCGCCTCCCAGCTTCCTGATTAGCCGGGAAGCCGCCTCCATCTCCCTCGTCACTAAGTGACGAGGAATCATGCAGCCGGCTTTCTGGCCAATCACGAAGCTGGGGGGGTAATGACTCGCTAACAGGCTTCCGGATTGGCCAGCTCACGACCAACCAGCAAGCTGAGCGGCAAGTCATTACACATCGCCCGGTTTCCTGATTGGCTGGGAAGCCACCTCCATGCTCCCTCGTCACCAGGTGATGAGCAAGCATGGAGCAGGCCTTCTGGCCAATCTAGAAGCTGGGTGGCGAGCTATTACATGCCGCCCGGCTTGCTGATTGGCTGAGAAGCCAGTTCCATGCTCCCTAGTCACCAAGTGACAAGAGAGCATGGAGCTGGCTTCCTGGCCAACAGGAAGCCGGGCGACGTATAATAGCTCGCCACCCAGCTTCGAGATATCAGAACTTCTGGTATCGGGATAAGCATCAGGAGCATTTGGGTGAGTACGAGAAGTCGTCCAAATATTCGGCCTCCTAAATTTTGTTACAGCAGTTGACTACAGCATGAAAAAGGCAAGCAAAATAAGAGCAGGAAGACCAGATAGTCCGGGACAAAACCATAAGTGAGAAAAATGGCCAAGTATACTCTCCTGTCAAAGTGCTTATGCCTTGAATGTATGAATGCGATCAAGCAGTTTGTCTTTAGTGTAACCTTTCACTAAATGGCTCATCTTCTAGAGAAAAAAAAACTTGCCTGAGCAGTGCGTCCATTGAATCTTGATCAAGGAATTCATGATCAGATTTCACAACATCTACGTTAATGGGGAACAGTAAATCTGCAAGAGAATGAAAGCAACGGAATTTTTGAATTGCAAACCACCCAAATACCAATATGGTACCCTTACATGAAAAAAAACAGCAACAATTTTCTCTGAAATAACTTTAAAAATGACCGCACTGAAAAACTGAAGTAAATTGGCATCCATCATTGTTAGTCCATATTTAAAAAAAAAAAACAACACACACTTGCTTTTGATTTTTGAGTCAACAGAGTATTTAAATAAAAGAAATAAACATGAAAAGGACAAACATAATGGGACCCTTAACCTTAATTTTTGTTGTACTACCCGTAGGAGGCAGTCACTGCAAACAAGTGATTTCTACAGCTCTCATTGAGACTTGATATGAATGAAAAGTAAATACAATAAAAACAATACATTGTATTTACTAAAATGACCCTTGTAAACAATATGCAAGCTGACAGTTGCTCCTGCTGAATAATACAAAGCAATTATAAACAGACATTTTAAAAACTCGTAATTGTTAGTAATAGGGGCAGGAGGTGCAGCGACCAGAAGCAAAGGAGCTGGCCATTAGAGATGCATAAACCTAAAAATTTTGCTGAAGTTTTTAAAGGACGTATCTTTAATGCTCGTGCAATGATTCCAAGGCTCAGTATAAATAAATGGACAAATTGTGCCTTTCCGTATTAAAAAAAACAAAACACAATCGTCTCTGAAGGCCATATGAAGTTTGGAGGTCTGAAGTTATTGACTTGGAGACAGTTGGCGACTTCTGCACACTGTGCGCTTCAGCATGCGCTGACCCCGCTCTGTCATTTTACGTGACCTACCACTTCGTGGCTGGGTTGCTGTTGTTCCCAGTTGCTTCCACTTTGTTATAATACCACTAACAGTTGACCACGGAATATTTAGTAGCAAGGACATTTCATGGATGGACTTATTGCACAGGTGGCAACCTATCCCGGTACCACACTTGAATTCGCTGAGCTCCTGAGAGCGATCCATTCTTTCACAAAAAAAAGTCTGCATGCCTAGGTGCTTGCTTTTATACACCTGTGGCCATGGGGGTGATTGGAACACCTGAATCCAATGATTTGGAGGAGTGTCCCAATACTTTTGGCAATATAGTCTCTCTCTCTATATATATATCTATATCCATCTATATCTATTGTGGCAGCAGGCGGAGGAAAATGTCTGAGTCTAGCCAGGATTGCAGAGTTGTATGCCCTAGATTCAGATATAATACTGAATTTCTTCCACTAGGGGGAAGTGCTGAGAGGGCTGGAGGCTTGGAGGTAACAAGCCCAGCTGAAGCTAGCTGGCTTGTTAGGGCCTCTACAAGAACTTCCAGCCTCCTAAAGGTGCCAATACACCTTACAATTATCTGCAGATATTCTGTGGTCAGATGGAAACAGATTGGCCCAGGTGGCGATTACTCCATCCACACAGTTAAGTGTAGATGGAGGAATCTGGTGCACCTTTTTCATCTGACCACAGAAAATCTGCAGATAATTGGAAAAATGTATACTTACCTTCAGTAATTTTCCTTTCCTGGTGCATCGATTGGCAGCACACCATGGGTTACGATCCGCACCTCTTAACCCACAGGACACGTGATAAATTTAGGCTCCTCAGAGCCATACTCATTCTAGTCGCAAATCCGAGCCATGGCAGGGAGTGCAAGAAATCTGGTGTGCTGCTAATTGATACACCAGGAAAGGAAAATTACGGAAGGTAAGTATACAATTTTCCCTTTTCCTGGGGAATCTTGGAAGCACACCATAGGATTTAGTGATCACACAGGGAGGGTAAAGCCAAGAAAATGTATTAGAGACTTGAACAACCAGAGGCAATAATGCTTTTTCCAAAGTCAAAGGTGGCAAGAAGTGCCGGGTCCACTTTATAATGATTATTGAATGTATTCCTTGAGGACCAGGAAGCGGCCCTGCAGATCGTCTCAGCAGAAACCTTGGCTTAGGCTGCCCATGAAGCTGCCAGACCCCTCGTCGAATGCACCCTTATCTCCTCAGGTGGATGAAGACCCCTAATGGAGTATGCTTTCTTGATGAGCTTCACCAACCAGACCGCGATAGTACTCACAGAGGCTGCGCTACCCCTCTTGCTTCCCCAAGAGATGACGAGGAGGTTGTCAATGAGACGAAAGGGTTGCGTTGAGTGGGTATATGCTTGCAGTGTGCTTGACACATCGAGTACGTGGGGATCACCCTCAATGTCTGTAAGCGTTGGGAGAACAATTTCTGGATCAAGATGGAACAAGAACGTAACATTCGGAAGAAAGGAAGGGCGAGTCCTCAGAACAACGTGCAGAATGGCTCTGTGACAGTTAGTGCGTGCAATTCGGAGACCTGTTTAGCAGATGTAATGGCCAGAAGGAAGGTGGTTTTGAGAGTCAAGTCCCAGAGGGACGTCTCTGGATGTGGATAGAAGGGAGCCTGTTGCAGAACATCGAGGACAAGAGATAGATCCCACTGCGGGAATAACAGTTTCCCTGGGGGGCGGAGCCTGCAGACATCCTTTCAAGAACCAGATGATTAACGGATCTAAGGCCCACCTGCATCCTGACGATGCGGAAATGGCTGAGACATGAACTCGGAGGGAGTTCCAGCTAAGGTCTTTCTCCAAGCCGGTCTGCAGAAAGTCAAGGGCATGATTCACTGTGGGGGCACGGGCGTCAAAGCCTCTGTCTGCCGCAGCCTCGGAAAACTTGTCCCAAACCCGTTGGTAAGCAGCGTTACTAGAGCGCTTTCTTGCCTTTAGTAACGTGGAGATAACCGCTTGGGAGCATCACAAACCTGAGAACCGTTCCCTTTCAAACTCCAGGCCATTAGATGGAGCGTTTCCGGTGCCGGGTGTAGGAGGGGGCCTTGGATCAGGAGATCGCTGCGATCGGGGAGAGGAAGTGGAGGTTCCAGGCTCAACTCCAGCAGTGCAGGGAACCATAGCCTCCTGGGTCAGAATGGTGTAATCGCTATCAGCACCCCTGGGAACGTAAACCCTCTCTGCATAAACTTTGTAATCAGAGGGTGGGGGGGTATTGGTGAAGGACCATAGAAGGACCATAGATAGAGCATCTGCTTCCACCGCCTGGCTGCAAGGGAATCGGGTCACGAATAGGGTGGTCTTGCTGTTGTTAGAAACGCGAATAGGTCGATCTGTGGTAAGCCCCAATGACCTATCACCATGTCGAAGACCTCCTGGTTCAGCTCCCATTTGTGCCGGTCCACGGTTGATCTGCTCAGAAGGTCGGCGAGGCTGTTCCGCTTGCCTGGAAGGTAGATTGCCAAGAGATGCCATAGGTGTGCTTGTGCCCAGCTCATTATCGGTTCGAGCTCCCACAGCATAGAGCGACTGTGCATGCCTTCTTGCTTTTGAATACAAACGACTGCACTTCTGTTGTTGATTTCTAACCATGAAAGTAAAGTAAGATATAAAAGGGCTCGAGCAGCAATCCGTCTGCCGTCTGTTGGAAGTGACAGCCGATGCTGATGTGTGGATTCCTTGTTTTTAAAAGAGAAGACGCCGGCGCATGTGCAGAGCGATCGAGAAGCCAAAGACGCCATCTGTGCGCATGCGCGTACAGCCGCGATCACACCTGCAGAAATACTCACCCAGCTGAGGGAAGGAGGCAGCGGTTTGGGATCCCCAAGGGGCGGGGCCTCCATCGTCGATGTGCTCCAATCATGAGAAAGGAAAGAAGGTAAGAGAAGGTGGAGTGTGGGGCGCGCGGCCCTAGGAAGGAGACCGGCTGAACAGGGAATGGCTGAGAGCGGGTTGATGGCAGAGTTTTATTCATGCAATATCACAAGAAGGGCCCTCAAGGAGAATTATGGTGTGTGTGAAAAACACTCATCCCATAATTCAAGCCGACCGGTGACACTGAAGCTGATCAGGAAATCAGTGAACACATACCACCGATCACCGACTTCCCGATCTTCTCCAAGCAGAAAGTGGTGACAGTCAGTCACCGCTTCTTGCAGCAATTCCCCACCCCTCTCATTTTCTCCAGCACTGACTGGAGGAACAGGCAGGGGAGGGGGCAGGCTCAGCTGACTCTGCCTCTACAGAGGCAGAGTCTTGACACTTGTCAGGATCTGTTGCAGCTGCAACGCGGCTCTGCGCTCTGAGCATATAGTGGGCAATAGCCCGCTATATACAGAGTTTTGGGTCACGGGAGGACATTAGTATATATGTCATCCTGTGACCCTGAAGAGAACTATTAAAAAAGGTTAGGCCAGTTTTCTTTTAATGCAATGCTACAAAAAGGTAACATGAATAGTCTGGGCTTTTGCAAGACAGAAGTGTTTTTGCTGGAGAGAGCAGCCATGGTGGGGGGAGGAAACCCTAGGTGCTTTAGTTTTTAAAGCAAACCACATAAGCCCAAATTCAACAACACGCTAATACAGTAAAATATTGTACAAAAACAGGTTTAAGGGGGCGTGGTCTCGACATGGCCGAGTGAGCACGCAGGTTCCTGGAGCTCTGTGACCGCCGACATCAGAAGCCGCTCTAACGGACGATATGACGTTTTCAATAAAAGCTTTTGAATTTAAAAAAAAAAAAAACAGGTTTAAATGAACAGTTTTCCTAAAGCTGTATACCACCAAAGCATTCCCCTATCTTTACAGTCAGCCAGCTGGTGCAACCAATTTAAAATTACCGGAGTCCTAAGCATTTTAGCTGCAGCAGTGAAAGAGCTATCCAACCCTGACATTTACCTTCATATAACTGTGCATACTGAGGAAATCCTGCTGCTTGCAACCAGTCACAGGCTTCCTTTGCTTCAATCTCTAAAAGCCAAAAAAGACAAATGTAAATTTTACTATGCTAAGGATTATATATCAATTACAGCAACTTGAATGTCTAATATATACACATTTGATTCTCACAATAAATCAGGCTACTTCTGTGCATCGCTGGAATTACAAGGAGACATTTATGTGCAGCGTTAAGAACCAGAAAGAAATGCCAGCACAATTAGTAACTCTTACATTCAAGGATTACCTTTCATCCTCAGCAAGTTGTGTAAAATGCATATGTGCCTTAGAAACCAATTGCAAAGTGTTTCCAGATAAGGTTAAGACATTATAGATTGCATAGCTTCCTTTATAGACAGGGGTCTATTTATACACTTTTCCATATACCGTAACTTTCACCAAGGATTCATACATTTTCCCAAATGAACCGAAATAGAAAACATGTGAATCCTGAGTGAACATTGTGTGAAGCATGTGCGAAAATATTTATACCCAGACCAGACCCAGAGTAGGCAGGGTAAGAACCTCTGTTTTGTAATGGTGTCTGTGGCCCCATTGGGAAAATCTTTCCTTACTGTATCAGGGACAGCATTTTCACTAGGCCAGGAAATGCAAGAAAAAGCATTAACTAGGAAATCACCGCTTCAGATAGAACCATGGTGTATATACAATTTAAGAAGTCGATTGACTGATTAACTGAAGACCTTTCACTTACAATTTTACTGGGCTAAGGTAACCTATGGATTCCTGTTTTATGGAAGCAGTCCACTTTGCATATTGCGACCTGCTGTTTATCAAGGTTAGCTTTTGAAAATCACTAAGTAGTGGATGGTTGTTCCATTAACAGGAGTAGTAGCTACACGGATAGTGTGTCATATTCCCTATGGAGGTGAATAAAAGAGATCTCTCTCTCTTTTATCTCCAGTTTAAACTTAAAGACTGATATTAGTGATGTATTGCTCTAATTTTCTTTTGTATGCTTATAACTGGCTTTAATCTTCTTTAAGAACAGTAGGGTAATTTTCTTCTGAGATTTCATCGTGGTCTCCTTTTTGTTTTTTGCTTACTTCCCATTTCTGGCTATTTACATGTTCAGGGAATATTTGAGCAATGTATAAAGCTGGCGTTGATGTGCAAATGGGGCAAAATTGAAGGTTCCAAAATTTATTTTTTCTTCTGATCAATTGTTCTTAGACTATTTTCTGTTAAGATTTTATATTATCGGGACCAAGGGCAATTTCTCCCTTGCTCCCCATCACTGTAGCTCTGTGTTGCATTTCTTTTTTTCCCACAACCAGCGTCTCTGGCGCTGCTAAGAACAGAGCCAGTGTCTCCAGCACTGCTAATCACAGCCAGTGTTTAGTCACAGCTGGCATTGTTAATATTCTGTCTGGGTCTGTTAGCTAAAATTTACAAGGCAAGCACCAGAAGTGTGGTACATCCTAGTGTAGTGCCTAAGGCAAGCACCAGCAGTGCAGTGCATCATGATGACGTGCAGAAGGCAAGCTCCAGCAGTGCAGTGTTGCAACATCAGCCTTGAAGAATTAAGGCAAAACAGTCCTTGAAAGCCCTTACTAGTTTCCTAGAGGTCCTTTGAAATCCTTTATGGCTAACCTCTAATTCAGTAGCATTAATCATGCCCCATTTACAGCCAAAGCTGGTATTAAAGTGGAATCTGAAAATATTATGCCCATACAGTTTCTTTTACACTTACAAAACAATTAAAAGGTTTTTGTAGAACAATGTAATCTTTACGCTTGACAGTTCATTGCTGGCCATCCAAATTCCTTTCATGCCAGACCCTTTCAATGAAAGCCTATCACTGTATCAGGATTTAAAAAACGTTTTGATCTGACTCTAAACATGGGAATCACCAAAACAAAAAAAACAAACTACAATCATATTGTTAATTTGTAAGGTAATTGCCCGGCTGCTCATCCACACAAATATCCATACAAATCCAAAGTAGACATAGGGACACTCACAGGTCTTATTTTCAAAGTTTCAAGGGAACTCAGTCCATCATTCTCAAGACTTGAACTCAGTCCATCATTCTCAAGACTTGAGAATGATGGACTGAGTTCCATTGAAACACTGACAATAAAACCCTGATGTTTTGACTTATCTTCACTGAACGACCCGTGAGTGCCTTTATAACTACTTTGGATAACTTTAGAGAGATACACACACACACACACACTTAAAAAATAAAAATAGTGATACAGTTTGTTGAAGGTAACTGGTATGTGATTTCTTTAGGATGTTTTTAAGCACCTAATTGAGCTCGTCCACTAATAACTATGCAGCAGTACTGAGGGTGGGAGTTAAAGTTAGAAATATCACCCCTTGGAATTAATATACATAGGATTAGTTTCCACCTAGCTATATATTATAGCCAATTAGCTGTAATTAAGAAATAGGAAGATGAATATAAGAAATATAAAGTGAATAGTTAGGTTTTCTTAAACAATGTCTTTTTTAGCCAAATTTTACATCACTCTGATGCTTGCTTTCTGGCCTACAGGCAACAGATGTTGAGATTTAACTTCTCATTATGCGACAATTAATAATACTCTAGAGGCAATGCTTTTACATTCCCACAGGAGCAGGGTCGGGCTCTAACCTTGCACAATTACATTCACCAGATGCCTGAAAAATGTAAACAACTTTAGTAGGTTTCAGAGGCATAGACTAAGCAGTAAAATGTAACGAGCGCAATGCAAGTTTCAAGATGTTTCACATAGGCCATCTGTTTCACAGGGGCCAAAAAGAGGGGAAAAGAAGGCACTGCAGACGCTCAAACCTTTTTCTGAACTGCTGTTCTAGGCGACTTGTCCAGACATTGAATTTTCAAACACAAGAGCAATTGAGAAGTATTCTACACAAAACATCTAAAAAAGGAGAACTATGGGGTTAAGGCTTTTCCCCATAGTTCTCCTTATGGTAACGGGAGGACACAAACTAGCGTCCTCCCGTCACTCTAGGCTCAGTATACCGCGAGCTGTAGCTCGCAGTATACTGAGACGCCGCACTATACCGCGAGCTGCTGCTCGCGGTATACTGAGACGCTCAAGCGGATCCCGACAATTGTGGCAGAGCCAGCTGTACCCACCCCCCTCCCCGTCTGTTCAGCCAGTCAGCGCTGGCGGATCGGAGCGGGGAGGGGGGAATCCAGCCCCCCCCGTCACGGCAGAGAGCCGTGACAGGATCGAGAGGTGAGCGAACGCCGGTATGTGTTTGCTCACCTCCCGATCTACTGAGCCGACCTGTGACAGTCTCATTGTCAAAGGTCGGCTAGAACTATGAGGCGAGTAAAAAGCACTCACCTCATAGTTCTCCTTTTATGACCGAATCCATTACAGATGAGGGGGCCGCCCACGACAGGCAATCAATGATCTTATCTGTACCCAGCTTGTACATTGCTATTAATTATATAAATATATTTATAATATATATAATTATAAATATATATTATATTTATAAGTCTGCTACTGATACACAAGGATTAGGAAATCACAGCAATATGTTTATGCATGCAAAGTGTTAACCAAGGTTTTGACATTAAGCTACAGTATTTCATTAATGATGACAGTTTGATGAAAAAGAACGACACGCTAACAGTGCAGAGTTCTAAGCTCTGTACATGTGTTATGACTTAGTCTCACTCCAACCTATCCCATCAAAATGTATAATGCTGCTCATATACTGCAATTTGCCTTAAATGCTGGTCATGTGATGGGTAACTGAAAACTTGCTTAGCTCCTGCTTAGCCATTACTGTATCTGTGTCTGAAGATTTACAAAATGTTCAGATGCTGTGTAAAAAGGATTAAATCACAAAGCAATGTTCATTGTTACTTCTGGTACTGGATAACATGGGTGATCCAGTACCACAGTTAGCAAAAAAAAGAAAAGAAAAAAAAGTTCTGTTCCCGCGCTCTCCAAAACAAAAAGACAGACAAAAGCCATCATGTCCTTATCTGGCGAAGGGGGAAAGACAAACCAATGTATGTAATTTGGTTAAATGTATTTTAAGATGCATCTGGAAATAAGCCAATGAAGAAATGCAGTTGATCACAGAATCATAAGGGAATAATTTGCATTGTATTGTAGTCCACTCATCTCCACTAAAATGTAAATATGCGTATATGCAAATCCTACCTTGGATGTAGATGTCTGCATTTCCCGGGGTTGGACAGTATTTATAGAGGTCATCACTGCCATATTGTTTCTGCTGCTTCTGCTTTGAAACTGATGCATCTTTTTTAGCACCTATAAAGATACGAACGGGCACATGAAAAAAACACATACACATGTACACTAATGGGTTCTGGCACATGAAGAAACACATTAAAAACAGATGTACGGTAGGTGTCCCCCAGCACTCTCCTTTACTCTCAATACATTACTGCTCTTTACAGCTGTTGGAAGTGAATAACCAGTACTTCCCAGGAATGGAGGTGGAAGTGACGCACCCTAGATGACAGCACTGTCACACTGGTGCAGGGAGGCAACCTCCCTGGAAGTGGTCGCAAGGGAAAATTTAAATACTAAAATATATTAGAATGCAGTGCTTAAGAATCTAAACTACATAACAAATTCTAATAAATAAATAGCAATAGTGATGAATGGTCATAAATTAAAAATTTGATAATTAGTATTATAAAACAGAACACAGTTATTTCATTCATCTATTCATCTAAAGCAATGATACAATGTGAAGGTGTGTTATAAACCAACACACTTTATTTCAACCCTGTGATATTATAGTTCGTCCACACTCCTGTGACTTGAAGAACTCCGGGAAAAAAAACTTTTATTAACCCTTACAGTGGGGCTACTTCTGCATTGCAAGGGTTAACTGCTCATTTTTGTCTAGGTGCCAGAAAGAATAAAAAGTTATACTTCCTAACCTCGGAGCCAGCCGGGTCCCTGGAACCTCTCTCCCTCCACTGCAGTGGCCTAAGGTCCTGTAAATGATCACATTCTATACGAGTGTATAGACATGAGGATGTTATGGAACATTCCAATGCT